GTACTTTAAAGTATATAAATAAGTTACCCGGGCAATTGATTTACATCAGCCAATCAGACGAACTTCTTCCTTTGAGATAAATTATGGCAGTATGGCATTGATGTAGAAAATAAAAAAACCGAATCTGAAATATATAAACAAGTTGAAGAAATTGAAAATTTATCAAAAGATTCGTCAATTTATTATCAGGCAAATTCAGCGCCATTCAATTATAAAACACACAGACAAGCTATTTATGCAAGTCGACTTTTAGATTTTCAGGGGCTTCCTAAACCAATAAACGCAGGTAACATTTATCTAACTTAAAAACCTAGACTATATATTAACGTTTTTTTTATTAACTCCTGAAGTTATTTTAGTAAGCAAGCCTCTCAAACTTCCCGAACTTGAATAGATGTGAATCTTAATTGCTACAAATTTGTCAATTTACTTTTGTTTTGAAATTAAGTTACGATTTTAATACATGCATTATAAATTTATTGAACGAATTCCATTTAAATGTAAAGATAAATTCCATCTGAGATTATTTAGTAAAAATTCAATAAACAAGAATTAAATGTTTAAGTGAAATTTTAATCTATTTCACTGTGAGACAAATTCTATTGGCAATTACTGTGGTGTATGAAACATAGGTGCATATAATAACTCAAAAGTTTGTTTATGAAACCACTCTTTGGGTTCTACTGTAACAAAAAAAACTTCTTACACAATTGATAAATAATTTTTATACTTTTAAAAGCTTGGCAGCTTAACTTTCTATAACACAGAATAAATTTAATGGATGAATTAATGTTTTTGTTTCACCTTATAACATATTCTTTGAATCCTCGTGAATCCCACAACTTTTTTTGAGGCAGATTTGTTAAAATTTGAGATATGATTGTATGTACGTATTTGAACGGTCACTCCTGTTGTATAAACTACACTCTATCATAATTTTTTGAGAAAATTTATTTATTATTTATCTCTCTTTCACATTTATTTAATTTTAGCAGGCTAAAGTTAAAGCATTAGGTGTAAAATTGTGCAAGGAATCTCTTGATCTTGTAGTATTGACTAATTTTAGGGGTAAGAAATATCAAATTTTATCCTGGGTGAGGAATAAATGTACCGACTTTTTTACTTTAAATTTTGCATTATATTGATCTACAAATTATACCCGTAGTTTCATACACTGGCGGAAATTAAGAAATTTGCTTAGTAATTTTTAGCTTTTTTAAGATCAGGATAGGGTTTGGTAAATAAAGAGTAAGATTATTTAAATAAAAAAACTCATCAACATTATTTTCAGCATCAGAGACGTTTAATTGTTGCAACACTTCCCGTTTTCTAGTTTATGCTGAATGTATTCCTTTTACAATTATAAATATATTCATGCTACAAACTCTTTCTAAGTGCACAGCTATATATCAAGTCACAATTTTATATAACAGATATATAAAATTCGGTGGAACAAAGACAGAACTCTTTTTTTCTGTGGAGTATTTTTAATTTGAAGATTTCGCTGCGGGATGTCGGAATATGGACCAGAATAAAGCCTTTATTTCAAAAAATTGGTTGCCAAATCAACGATTTATTTAACTTTGAACCGTCCCTGTTGGTACTTAATACAGTACGTACCTTATTGTTATGCGTAATGAAATTTAATTGGACATCGAGGGCATTTTGTTTTTGACATAACTAATTGGCTTCCTTTTTTTAATAATAAGCCATTTTCATTCCATATATATTTACATGCGTATTATTATTGACATACTGTATAATTTATTAGTCATGTCCGAAAGCCCACAGGCGGCAGCAACAGCAACGTATACGATCTAGAATAACGATGTTGCAGTACTGTCGTCATCTAGAATATGTATTGATCAACTTTCTATAAGTGCACATCGTCGGGAATATGCACTTATAGAGTGTGAGCTTTTGAAGAAACAAGCTGGTCAAAGTCTGAAATTTAATAAATTATTATAAATTTTCGAATCATTTTTTACTGTACTGATCGATGAAATGCATTTA